CCATTATTTGTCCTTTTGCCTTGGCTCTAATTTTAGCACATATCAGACATTTAGAAATATGAGATTTTATTACAACTTTCGCCCTTATAATCCAGTACTTTGTTCTTAAGTATGACGACATTAATTGTACTCCACCGTGCAGCGTCTTTTTATGAGCGTCAGCTATAATGAGTGCTGTCAGTGAAGACTTAGCGTATAAAATAATTGGAAATTTACTCTCTTCACTAATATTTGCATGCCGACCAATAAGATATTATTTCTCAGAAAATCCTCCACTTGCCTTCTTTATACATAAATTTACGGCTAACCTTAAAAATCGTCTGCTGTATACAATTATCTTAAGAAGTTCTTCAAATGAGTCAAAACACTTAAAGCTCAAAAACTGGTTTGTATGGTCATTTCTTATTTCTGTAACATTTAAATTTATTTTAATTAATTTTTTATCAAATTGTGTTGAAAGTATGTTAGGTCTTGAAAGTATTATTTCTTTCTGTAACAACCATGGTGGTCCATGCCACCATAACTGGTTTGCGAGAAGAACTTGAGCAGAGGAACCTCTTGACGCAATATCTGCTGGATTGTCCTGAGTTTTCACGTGGTACCATTGGCCATTTTTAACATTCTCCATTATCTCAACAACACGATTTGCGACAAATGGCTTCCATCTATTTGGTTCGCCAATAAGCCATGCCAAAACTACTGAAGAGTCAGTCCACGCAAAAACTTGTGTGGAAGGTATTCTCATCGCTTCAGCCACGTGATTTAGAAGCTTAGCTAATAAAGTTGCGCCACATAACTCAAGACGAGGCAAAGAAATAGTTTTTATCGGAGCTACCTTGGTTCTGGCAGCTGCAATGCTTGTCTGTACAATATCGTTTTCATCTACTGTTCTACAATACACAACTGCAGATATTGCCTTTATAGATGCATCACAGAAACCGTGTAGTGATGTGGTTTATTTATTAGCGGTTTTCGTATAAATCCAATGTTTCATTCGCATTTGATTGACATTATCTAGATCATAACATATTGTCAGCTACTCTTTCCGTAATTCTTTGTTTATATTGTCATCCCAGTTTACTCCTTCTAACCATAGCCTTTGAATAAGTATTTTAGCCTTGATAATTACGGGTGCTATCCATCCTAAAGGATCAAACATTCTTTGTACATCTGCTAATATATTACGTTTAGTGGCGTTCCTTAGAACAGGTGGTAAAGTCACTGTGTATTGAAAGTCATCTTCACCTAAATTCCATGTCAGGCCGAGTGCCTTTACTGTGCCATCGATTTTAATATTCAAGCTAGCTCTTATTTATATTTCACTTGGTTCTAATGACCTTAACAAATCAGCACTATTTGATATCCCTTTCTGAAGTCTGAAGCCGCCTCCCTTAAGAATAGTTTTTAATTGTTCACATACTTCTATGGCTTGTTGAAAAGTATCACATCCAGACATTAAATCGTCTACATAAAAGTCCTCACGTATTATTCTCGCTGCATTTGGATAGTCTCTGGCTTCATTATCCGCAATTTGCAATAAGGTTTTGACAACTAGATATGGTGCTGATGCTGTACCAAATGTAACTGTCAACAACTTGAAGTCTTCTATTTCGTCAGATTTTGATGAATTATCTCTCCACAAAATTCTTTGAGTCTGTACGTTCCTTTTTTAACAATATCATTCTATACATTTTCTCAACATCGCTTGCGAAACAAATTTTGTGCATCCGCCATCTCATAATGATACTTCTTAAATCTTCCTGTAAAACGGGTCCTACTAAGAGCTCATCGTTAAGAGATATTCCTTGAGAATTTTTACAGAAGCGTCAAAAACAACACGCGTTTTGGTTGTTTCTTTGTCGGTGCGTACTACAGCCTGATGAGGCAAATAAACTGCGCACTTGATTATTTCTTGTTTAGGAAGCCCTTCCATGTACCTTTGTAAGATATTCTTTCATTACCTCCTGATATTTCACTTTAAGATGTGGTATTTTATCTAATTTTTGTTCTAGCTGTAAAAATCTTTTCATTGAAATTTCTCTGCTATTTCCTTTATGTGACTTCGGGTTATCTACTTTAAATGGTAATTGAACTATGTACCTTCCTTCGCTATTTCTCGAATAGGTATTCTTAAATATTTCTTCACATTTCTCTTCATCCTTCGTATATCTTCTTTTAGGAGTCGTGTCTACTTCCCATAATATTTTCAACATATCATCTACTTCGGTTACTTGGTGCATTACTATCATTGTTTGTTCTTGTTGTTGTAAATTGTCGTTTACGCTCCCGAAAACAATCCAACCCAGTGCAGTATTTTGCGCATAAGGCGTTTCAGGTGGACCTTTAATGAATTCACTCTGCAAGATTTGTGCATATTCATTTACTCCTAACAACAAATCAATAGATCCTGTTGTGTGGAAATTTGGATCTCCTAAACTAAGTCCTTGGAGAAGAGGCCATTCGTAAAACGCAATTGATTTTGTGGGGATTTTAGTAGTCATTTGTTTTGATATGACATACGCTTTTACCTTGAGGCTGAATTCGCCTTGATACTGTGATATGAACCTCCTCTGCCTGAACTACTTGATTTATTTTTGACGTTACAGATCCCACACCAATAATGTTTCCCTTAACTTTATACCTCTTGGCCTTTAAAGATTGAGCTGCACCTTCACTAATTAAACAACCCTGTGATCCCCGGTCAATGAGGGCTCTTAATACAGTTGTGTATCCATCTTCACTTCGTACTGTAACTACTGCTGTACCTAATAAAAATGTATTCCTCATTGCTTGAGCTTGTGACGTCATCATTGTATTGATTTGAAGTTCTTTTGTTTCTTCAATATTTGTATGTAAAACCTTCGGTTGTGTTTCCTTTTGCTTTTCACCTTGGGGACTCGTAGCTCGTGAATGATGAAGAAGAGAGTGATACGTTTGTGACAAATCCTGCATGTGCTGGATGAACGGCAAGCTTTGACTGGGTGACCAGGAATTAGACAGTTAAAACATATGTTTTTTGTCTTTACTAATTCACTCCTCATTGTGCACCAAAAAAAAAAGGCCTTAATTAGGGGGGACCACGCCTTTTTTTAAAATTCCCCTTTAAAAAAAAAACTCGCCCAAAATCTTTATTAAAATATTCCAAGCGTTTTCGTTGTTCCTTAGGTACAGATTTTAATAAATTTATATGTGCAGTCTTAAACGAGTACCAATAGTCATCAAGGCAGTTAATTTTTGTTTCTAAATAGCCCTTAGTTAGCCGTGCCTTTGGACATTTTTTAAAGTTATCGTGGATTTTAACAATACAACAGTGCAAATCTTCAAGTTCACTTAAAATTTGGTCCGTGTTTTCCATGTTAAATATTGAATAATACGACGGTTATTCACTTTATTTGTACACTAATAACTTTAATGCAACTTGTTTTGTATTAGCGTCCAGGCTCTTTTGTTCTCCGACTCGAAGTTATCAGTCGCCTATTCAATAAAAATCCGGCTCGATGCAGGCCACTATGTGCTTTATCTTGTTATACGGACAGGTCAAACATGCTTATGGTAAGAATGCAACAGAAACAGAAACTTTTAATTCAATATGTATTACAAATAATACTTATTGTAAGTCACTTTTTTTTCATTTGCCACTGGTTCGCAAAAAAAAACCTCTGTCCTGAGAAGAACCAGCAAGAAACCCAGAGGGATTTTTTTTTTTAAAATAATAGCTTACAATCATGAATGTTACAATTTATACAACATAAAACATGTACATCGCTACACAAAAATAAAAGCGCTTTTCCTTATGAAGAGGAAGCGCGGGGGGCTAAAGCCCCGACAATCTTTGATATTTTAGGGTTAGTTATCAAGCCTTAAAAAGGCATGCACGACAAAATCATGGAACGTCACCTGTCACCAGCTCCCGGTCCGTTAATAGCAGTGTTCCCTTTCAGGCTTACTTCACGTACTAATTTCTAATTTTATAGCTAGTTGTGGGGTAAATTTTTCCTCACACTTGTAACCCTAAATATAGTGACGCATTTTTTTGTCTCTTTCTGCGACACGCTATGGCGGTGTCTATAGGATTCTCTGTCTACGACGTATACCATATCCGTAGACAGAGAAACCTATAGACAAATTGACGCCTTCTTTCGCATTCGCACACGAAAAAGATAGATTTATGCATACGTCTTGCATAGAAATGAGATAGAGCGGTGTGATTGTTTGTCCCTTTCCCCGTGCCGGTTTTTTTGTTTAGCAAACTGTAGAGTTTTTGCTTGCGTAGCGATTTAAGGAATTTACAAGTTGGTTTAAGTGAGAAAAAAGTGTTTTGTGAGCTTAAGATTGGTAAATCTTGTTCAGTTTTGTTCTTGAACAGTTAAAATTTTTATTTAAGTGTGTTTAAAAGACATAAAGATTATTGTATAACCTAAAAATTCGTTATCGTCCTTTCTCACTCGAGGCCACGCCGATCATTAGTCTATAAGTTTCTCTGTCTACGACCATATCATATTATACTTTATACCATAGAGTAGAGGAATATATTGCTTTATACGTAATAGTGTTCTGTGCTTTATACTCTTTGACCTTAACTGTTAACTGACAAAATGAAAACAAACCCAAAAAACATCCTCCTCAGGCGCGGCCACACCCCCTTTTTTTTTTTTTTTGAAAGAAGGTTTAAAAGTTTTTTGTGCAATTTTTTTAATAAAAAAAAAAAAAAAAAAAACTTAAAAATAGAAAAACAAAATAAAATATGTCCCCCCAAAAGAAAAAAAAAATTTAGCGAGCACCCTAACGTCACAACGCCGCCCTTTTTCCAAAACACCCAATGTGATTAAATGTAAATGACAATTTTAAAAATATAGTTTTTCAACGGTTTGTAAATGTTGAAAATCTGAATGTTTTTAGTTTCGAAAATTTCTAGTTTTGAAGTTCGTTGTAGATTATGCGTCGACGTAAAGAGTATTAGTGTGTTTTCTATCTATTAAATAAATGTTTACATTTGAACCATGAGTGGAAATACAGAATCGAGCTCAAACAGCATCAAGTTTGCTCCAATGCCCATGTCAGCGTTGCTTGCAAACCTGGCGCCCTTACGGACTCAGACTGATACACCAGACTCTAGTTTTTCATCTGGTGATAGCGATGACTCTATTTGTGAAACAGTTGCAAATAAAACCCCGTTGCTCAAATCGCACGGTAGAGAAACCAAAGACGTCACTTCGGAGAAGAAAATATACTGTTACAATAAAGAGAATTTTGATGAGAATTGGTTGTCAAGAAGGACTTACGCAAGTAAAGAGAATTGCAGTTTACAAGGAGCTAATAAGTATGAGAAATTCAACCCATTTCCAAATTCAGAAGTTAAAAAACGACCTGCATTATCACTACACGACAACAATATTCAAACACAGGAAAATAATATAGACTCAGCGCTAAAAAAAACACCAGAGATTTCAAAACCTCCAAATCGTAAAACTAAAAGTGGAACTCCTATAATTAAATCTGGTATTAGAAAGTTTACACCTGGTTCGTCTCGATTGAGTCAGAAAAAGGCACATTTGCAGAATGTTCTACAAAACAGGGATAAGGTTAGATGTGAGTTATTTGGTCAAAGTGAGACCAAGGATGAAAATCCAATAAAACGAGAACAAATGGCACCACCAGTGTCAGCACCACAACAAACACCTATTATAATACCTGTACCTGAGACTCCAGTGAACAGAAAACAGATTCCTGCACCTTGTGTAGCTACACCTTCTTATCCGCAGGGTGTGATAGGCAATAGTGCAAAGATATTGTTTAAAACCACTTGTATAAAAGACAAGAAATACATGTTTATTAAAAAATTAGGGACAGGGGGTTCCAGTGAAGTTTACAAGGTAACTTAATTATTAATTAGCAATTTATTGTATAGGGTAAATCATACCTAATTTTTTTTGTATATATGTATTGTATATTTTGTATATTTTTTTTTGTATATATATGTTTATTATATTGATGCTTTGTTACTGCATGCCTGCATCTGTTGTATGCTTGAACAGAGGGCATACGCAATTTTTACACTAAGAGAAGCTATCATGCCATCATGGGTTCCCTAAGAGAAATAGCTGAAAAATGTTATGATCTTTAATGGATGGTAGATTCATTGTTGTAAATGAAAAAATAATGGTGTAGTCAGATATATTTTGTCATGTCAATGGCTGTATTATTACAAGAAGCTTTAATATATTATATAACTGTATGGTGTTTCCTAAGGACTTTTTCTACCCTACCAAAATCATGATCCGAATCTAAATAAGAATGGCCAATCTCAGGGAACTTGTGGTCTATTACTTTAAAATATCCTTTTATAATAATAATAAGCCCTTTTAATCTGAACTTAAATATATAAATAATATATGTTGTATTTCTTTTTTGTTTTTTATAATATGTCCCGAAGTTCAATTTGCCTCTTGGCATAGGCCTCCTCTAATATTTTCTAAAATCCTCCATTCTACCCTTCTCAAGTGATGTCCCGCCGTGAGTTTTAGGTCGTCATCCCATCTTGTCTGTTGGCATCCTCTACTTCTCTTACCATCTCTAGGGTACCAATCTGTGACCGTTTTACACCATTTATCATGTGACCTGTCCATCTCCATTTTTGGTTGGTCTATTCGTGTTAATATATCAGCAACTTTGGTTTTTTCTCTTATTTTGCGACATCTCACTCTGTCCTCTATCTTTATCCTATCAAGCTTCTTTCCATGGCTCTTTGGCAGCGTTCCAGCTTTTCCCTGTGGTGTTTGGTGAGTGCCCAGGTTTCACGTCCGTAAGTGACGACTGGAAGTATACATGTGTTGAAGACTTTCCTTTTTTTTCATACTTAGTTCCTTGGATTTCAAGACGTCTTTGAAGAACCAGTATTTATTCTATCCGTTTCCTATTCTTCTTTCAATTTCTTTGGTATTTTGATCTTTGTGAGATATGATTTGTCCTAAGTAGATGTAATCTGTCACATATTCGAGAGGTTGGTTGTCAACTTTAATTATTACTGATTCGGAGTTTGTGAGCAGTTTTGTTTTGTCTTTGTTTATGCATAGGCCTACTTTCTTACTCAATTTGTTGAGAGTTTCTATCATTTTACTTACATGCATTGGGTTTTCCTCAAATAAGACTATATCATCTGTGAATCTTAGGTGGTTTAGTTTTTCACCCAGCATGTTGAAGCCATATTCTTTCCAATCTAGTTTGCAGAAGATGCTTTCCAGAGCAGCCGAGAATAATTTTGGTGAAAGAGGGTCTCCCTGTCTTACTCCCCTCTTGATCTTGAACTTTTTCCCAAGGTTTCCAGTTGGATTCTCGCCTTTCCGTTCATATTGATGTTCTTTATGATATTAATGTAGTTCGATTGTTTCCCCTCCTGTTCTAAGCTGTTCCATATGGCCATGTGCTCTATGCTGTCAAAAGCTTTAAAATAGCCAAGGAATGCCATATAGAGTTTCTTGTTATACTCGTATTTTTCTACTATTCGTTTTGTTGTATTTTTTTTGTATGTATATGATCTAGAGTGGAGTATTTTTGTCTGAAGCCAGCTTACTCCCGTGCTTGGTTTTCATCTAATTTTTTTGCTTATTCGACCCAGAATAACTTTAGAAAATACCTTATAGATATTTGATATCAGGCTTATGGGTCTATAGTTTCCTATATCCTCCTTTTGTCCTTTTTGGAATAATAGAATAGTGTTTGCTGTTTTCCATTCTTTCGGGATTTGGCTAGTTGTTAGTATTTCATTGAATATTGAAGTAAGTATTGGTAGTAGTTCTTTGAGGAGGAACTCCTTTTAGGAGTTCATTCGTCACTTTGTCTGGTCCTGGAGCTTTTTCCATCTTCTGGCTGTATATAGCTTTTTCCATTTTACTGGAAAGTATTTCTGGTTCTTTTTTGGAGTCAGTCCTCGGGTAGTGTTCTTGTTTGTGGTCTGGGTTTGAACAAAGGTCTTGGTAAAACTTTGTGGCTATTTCATTTATGTTTTTTCTGTTGTGGATTATTTCTTTTTGTTTAGTTTAGGTATCCATTCCTTGTTTGATTCTCTCAGTTCCTTTAGTGCTTTTTTACTCCTCCTGTCTTTGCTATATGCCTTTCTAATGTTTGCAGCCTCATGGTCTTTCTATCCTTTCTGATGTCCGCACTAATTTCTTATTAGAATTTAATGTTAATTTTTTGTTTACTTTTTAATGTAAATTTATTGAAGTAAAATATTATTAAACACTTACTTTGAACATTTCTGAGGTTATAATCCTTATAAACATCATTGTTCCGAGTTTTTACTATTATGGGTGACCAACAGCAGCCTCCAGTAATATTTTTGGCCTTGCTTTGCCTCCTGCCGTTGGTTTTTAACTTTGCCAATATTTTCGTACACAACACACGCTACAATATGCACTCTGTTAAAAAGCCTCCAAGAACGTGACAATTTTATTGACAGAACGAAAATGAAAACAATTGGCTGACATGAACGTATGAAGGTGTTATGTATGTCACATAACATCTTCATTCACGGAGAAGTGACGTCTTGTCATTCGACTATCGTTCGCTGAGTGGAAGAAGGTGTTATGTTCATACATATCACTTTCTACCTCAACAAAAAAACAAGCCTTATTTTATTTATCAAGAACGTGGTGATGTGGGCTCATACCTTTTTCATCCAGTACCATTTTCAAACTAAACTGAACATAGCATTTTTATCAACTTTCTATTTTTAAAATGCATCTTAAATCAATAGTTTTAGGGTCTAAAATAATTTTATATCGACATATCACCTTCATCTATGCAAAAAAAAACACCAAAGCCTGAAAATGCGACATCACCTTCATCCACTTATGTCATCAATTGTAAAATGATTGTTTTTAATTAATTTACAACTAAAATTTAACCAGTAACCTGTAGACACAAATGTATAACTAATGACTATTTTTGCAGGTGCTTGAAGTTGGCACATCATGTGAATATGCAGTGAAGTGTGTATATTTAGCTACAGACCAAGAGCTGGCTCAGGGCTATATTAATGAAGTAAGACTGCTGCGTGAACTACAGAATTCGGACCGTGTTATACGCTTGTACGACTAGTGAGTATTTTTACTTGTGTTTTTCATATGTGAAAATAAATGATTGTATTTTAATTGTCTGCTAAAATTACCAAAAATATTATTTTCTTCATCTTGTGGTTATTTTTGTCATGCCACATGTCACATCACATGGCTGTTGTAAGAATAATCAATGCCTTTTGTTTTAATGTATAAAGTGATAGAAATACTATCACGTAAGTTTTAAAAGACTATATTTGTAGAGTATTCACTCAGAATTCACCAAGTTTTATTAACTACCTCATAGAGATACTTTGGAGGAAACCATGTCAAAATATGGTGTTTTCCTAGATACAAGTCGATATCAACTTCATAATATGTATATAACAAACTATGTTGTCACTCTTACTTAAAATTTAATGTATATTAGCAATATGACAACTTTAATAAAAGTATAAACCGACTATGGTGATTAATTTTAACTTTTTTACCCTTTTGATTAGACTAAGGAATATCAAAAGCTCCTAGGATTTTCTCCTGTATCACAGAGAGCTTATAGACATAAATTGCGCAAGGACCCTGTATCCAGACCTGGAACAATTATTTGTAGGCTGTGTGTTACATGCTCCTTGTGGGATTCGAACCCAGGGCCTCCAACTCTACAACTCATTGCATCAAATATTAAGAACTTTATCCACTATTTTTCTAACTTTTGAGGGAATTTCTTTTTAAATTTATATGGGAGCACCCATGAAGTATGACCTATTTAATAAAAAAATAATCTAAAAATCAGTTCACAAGTGATGGAGATAATATGTAACTATATCCAAATTTTACATACTAGTTAGGACTCCGTTTTCCTAGGAGTCCAACTGAGTAAGTGGTACCTGTTCCAGCCACCAAATAGCAGTACTTGCACTGATTTGCTCCAGTCAGAAGAGTATAAAGAGCTGTCATAATTACAGAATTGAGATGGAAAGCCTCATAGAATTCCACTTTAGTCCTTAAAGGTGACATGCATCTGTAGGCTTCTTTGTTTGAAGTTGGTTGCAGTAGGCACTTACCTTCAGGTTGACTGAAAATTTTGTTTTCACTTCAGTTATATAATAGCAACAAAAACAAAACAAATAAAAGCAGGTGGTATGTCATTATGCCTAGTCTTAAATGGTAGAGCCATGCTGGAGGTATATTATGGTTGTAGCATGAATGGATCAGCTCGACCAGGAAAGGACCATGCTCTCGTAGAATATCGTAAAGTAGCAACTTAATGCTGCTGTGTTTCATATGGCTAATGTAGAGAACTAGAAACCCTTTTTACTAAATACAAGGCATTTCATGTTAGTTCTCAAGGATGACAGCGTATCTGCATTTTGATTCATAATAGAAAATACATGTAATGTCTATGGATCGCAGCATTCACTTGTTTGTTACCTTTATATATAAAAATTAGGTGTCATGTTGTTTGTCCGTAATAAACTACTGAACTGATTTCAATATAATTTTGCACAATGCAGTTTGGTCAAACTTCAGAGATTGGAGAGTTTTTATCCCAATAAGTGACCCTCAATGTATTTTATTACGTATTTAATGATTTTTATATGACAAAGGGTCGTCGGATGGGGCAGCACAACATCTGCTTGGCCGGCTGGTTCTAAATAAAAATAACATACCTACAGTTAAATTGAGAATTTGCTCTTTTTGGAAGTCAGCTAAAAAGAGCCATTTTATTTTTCCATGCCTCAGTTATCAGAATATCATCTGCATTACTGTCACTTTCCTAAATTTCTAAAACCGAAATGAAATAACTATTTACATTTACACTAGTTATTAAAATTGTTGACATTGCAGTGAATATGACCGCACGAACCGACTGCTGCGCATGGTTCTTGAGGTGGGTGAGACAGATCTGTCTTCGTTCTTGCGTGCGCGCGGCTCTGGTTTGCCGCCTGCACTCGTGCTCCACTATTGGGAGGAGATGTTGCTTGCTGTTCTATACATACATGAGCATGGTGAGTCATTTTTATATTAACTGAAACAGTATTAAGATTCAAATCCCTAATTGTGAACAAGACACTTAATAGTTTGCTTAAATAGGATTGTCCACTTTATTAAGATAGTGACACATATTATGGAGTATATGGTAGACCTAGCTTTACTTGGTGTTAAAAAAATGATGTCGTCACCTAACTATCTAGATATACTTAAAAACTAAAATGATTATCTAAATACACAAGTGGTAAAATAAAAATTTTTGTACAACTGAATTCAATATAAATGAAATAAGAATGTCATCAATGTAGTCGAAGTCAATTAAATACGCATTGATACTGAACTCAAAACCTACTGTAAATTTATATGCAAATATAAAAAAAGAATCATCAAAAAACGGTTTACCTAGAAAAATGTTCTTAGATAACACACATTTAAAAAAATTCGATCAAGTTTTAAGAATTTTTAATCCAAATTATTAGATCTTTTTCCAAGAAACCAATAATATTCATTATTACATATATTATTGGTTAGTCTATCAGTAGTTCTGACTCTAATATTGGTGTTCATATAGTGTTGGACTGTTTAATTCAAAAACCTTCTTCTTCATCAATCCATTACAGGCCATTGCTAGATATGTCATTTCACCTAAGTTTAGCCTTAATTGTCATGTTTCAGAGGCAGCTTGACAATAGCAGTACCAAACACTTCGTACCCGTGACACTGTGATCCGTTGCCGGTTTTAGCCTTTTACATAGGACACTCAAAAGTTTAGAGATATACAAAAAGTATTCTATTTATTCAAAATATTCTCCATCGTGCTCTATATAAAGTTCCATTCGCCTAAACCAACTCTGAAAACACTTTTGCCAGTCTTAAGCTGACAGGTCGGAAATCGCTTCTTCGTAGGCAGCCACGGCTTCTTCGGTGCTTGAAAAGCTTGCCTTATATTTTTTCTTTGACTCTTGTGTACAAAAGAAATCACAAGGAGCTAAGTCGGGGCTATAGGGTGGGTGATTTAGAGTTTTAACACCAGATTCCTCAATAAATGCTTTTATTCTAAGGGAGGTATGTGAAGAGGCGTTATCGTGATGCAGTATGATTCCAAGAAGTCCGATCTTTGGCCTTCTCTTCCGCACAGCTTGAAAAGCTTTGGGTAATGCAACTGTTGTATACAGTTCAGAGTTCTACAATTTTCCAGCATTGACGTCGACTAATGTCCGCTCCGCGAAAAAAATTAGCCACTATTTTTTGCCGACGTTGCGAGGTCTTTGGAGTTTTGTCGGTAACTGCCCTTCTGAGTAGACGCATACCGATGATTGCCTTTTATTTTCCGGATCATATTGATAGATCCATGTCACCAGTATCGATTTCTGAAACACGCCTAGATGCCCCGTTTTCAAAACGTAGACGCATTTCATGGCACAAATCCACAAGTCTGTTTTTCGCTTTCGGAGAGCAAACGAGGGATCCATCGACAACAAACCTTCCTCAATCCAAGATGTTGATGTAGGATGGTGTGAATGTTCCCCGAACTAAGTCCTACAATCTATTCGATGTCCGTATATGTGATTTGTGGGTCTTCTCATCTGGTTATTCTGTTTTAGTTCCCTTTTTTTTCTCGATTGTAACCGTCGTAAACTTAATTGTTCGTTTAAACCAAATTTAAAATCATAATAGATCATAGCGCGCAAATGTTCACGGTTAAGATCCATCGTTTTAAATGAAAATTGCGGGAAGAATTGCAGGAAAATTAATACAACTGTTTTTTTTAATATTGAGCAATTAAAAATGTTCTATTAAACTTATGCTTAGGCTTAGGCTTATGGAGTTCTATTTTTAAATAAATTTGCTTTATAGAAACATATAACATGGGTGCATTCTATTTTTAAATTTTGCACATCTTAAAACCTATTGAGTGACCTATGTAGTCTGGTCTTAATCAAATGTTTAGCATAGCATAGCATAAACACTCACGCCTGTCACCCAGAGGGGTAGGCAGAGACCACGGACTTCCATTTGGCACGATCCTGACATACCTCTTTCGCCTCCTTTACATCCATATATCTACGCATACATGCTCGTCGGTTAAGGGTACTTTTAACGTGGCCCATTTTCAAAATATCGCCAATTTGGTCGATAAACTTTTTTCTAGGGCGTCCCTTCCCGACTCTGCCGTTCACATCTGCCATATAAATTTGCTTTTTCACTCTTTCCTCATTCATTCTTTCTACATGACCAAACCACTGAAGCATTCCTTTCTTAATCCTGGTCACAACATCATCTTGCATACCACATTTATCTCTTATCACGTAATTTCTCACCCTGTCATTCAGGTTCAACCCTAGCATACTCCTTAAAGACCGCATTTCTACAGAATTTATTCTACTTTCGTGCTTCTTCTGCCACACCCAGCTTTCACTACCATACATTAAAGTAGGGACTAACACAGCATTATGAATTACCATATGTGCCTTTTTTGATACATTCTGGTTCTTCACAATAGAGTGTAGTACCCCATTCACTCTATTCCCTGCATTTACTCGTCGTTCTATATCCTTATCATATCTACCATCCCTGCTAAATACACATTCCAAATACACAAACTCATACACTTGCTCAATTAACTCTCCTTCTATTCTTATTTCACATACCGTATTGCTTTCCTCTCTTTTAAAAACCATCACTTTCGTCTTACTTGCGTTCACTTTCATTCCCCTTTCTTTTAATTCCCAGTTCATTAATGTAACCTTCATTTGCAACTCAGCCGCCGATGACGCAAATATGACTTGATCATCGGCATACAAAAGGCATTTGACGGTTAACTCGCCCATTCTTAACCCACATTCTTCATCTTTCAAAGTTTGCAAACACCTGTCCATAAATAGGTTGAACAGCCAAGGGGAAGCCACACAGCCCTGTCTGACACCCTTTCGGATGCCAAACCAGTCCGAGTAGACCCCATTGATCCTGACACAAGCTCTAGAATCCCTATAAAGAGACCTCAATGCCTGTATCAAACCAGCGCGCAACCCATATGAGTTCAGTGTTTGCCATAACACATTCCTGTCCACTCTGTCATAAGCCTTTTCCAAGTCCATGAACGCACAAAAAACTTTCTGGTTTTTAGCCAAAAACTTCTCCGCAATCATGCGCATGGAAAAGACTTGACCTGTACACCCCATTCCCTTTCTAAAACCCGCTTGCACATCCCAAATTTTTCCATCAGTTTCTTTCATAACTCTTTCAATTAACACCTTAGCGTACAGTTTACCCACAATACTAAGCAAGCTGATACCACGGTAGTTTTTGCAGTCCTGCTGTGACCCTTTTTCTTTATATATTGGTACTATAACTGCTTTACATCAGTCATCCGGTACCCGTTTTTAATTCCCAACATAAATTAAACAAGGGGACGCAGGCCTGCCACCACTCCCTCTCCAGCCCTTAGCATCTCGAGTGATACTCTATCATATCCAGCTGTCTTACCTGCTTACCCCTTTACCCCTACCACCTCCATACCCATACCCCTTTCCACTTCTTTCGTAATTTCTTGTTCATTTAATTCAGACGACTCCTCACTCATAAACACGCTTTCAAAGTATTCCTTCCATCTGTTTAAATTCGAAACTTCATCATTCAGAATACATCCATTCTCGTCTCTTATAGCATTAATTATAGGCTGTTTTGTATTTCCCCTGGCAGTTCTTACGAGTTTCCAGAACATTTTTATATTAGTTCAACTACTTCTTTTACTCTCTTATTTAGACGTCTAAATTCTGCCTTTTTTCTTTCAATCTCATCATTCATACCACCAGAATTACCAGCTTTAGTTGCTAGTAAATCTAACCATGCTTTCTTCTTTGATTCAACTTCCACCCGCACCTCATCATCCCACCACAACGTATTCCTTTTCCTTTCATTTGTTCTCTTACTTACACCACATACTTCGGTGGCTGCATCCACCAAACCTTTCTTAATATTATCCCACACAGTATTCAAGTCTAAATCATTCATACAAAACTCATTCAAACACCTAATATTTTCTCTCAGTCTACATTTATACTTCTCTTTCACATCTTCATCTTGTAACTTCTCTATTCTTATACGCTGTAACGCAGTGGTAGACACAGATGTCCGATGCCGCCAATGCTTGAAAAGACCATTAATTCGACATAAGACCAAGTAATGATCCGTCCCTACGTTGGACCCCGGTAAACCCTTGTATCTACAACTGCGCTCCTCAATTTTTCATCCACAATTACGAAATCTATCATGCTTCTATCATCACCTCTTTCCCATGTATACATGTGAATCTTCTTATGACTTAAAAAGTATTCGTCACAAAGAGATTCTTTTCAACACATACGGTGAGGAGGTCTTCATCATTCTCATTTATACTTTCATCACCAAACGTTCCCAATATCCTTTCATAACCAGACCTCTTCACCCCAACCCTTCCATTAAAGTCTCCTAACATAATAATATTTTCATTTTCCTTACATTTTGTCAACACCATCCTTTCCATGTGCCAAAACTGCTCTCGGATGTAAGTGGGCTTAGACATGTCTGGGGCGTACACCCCTAGCAAGAACAGCTTCTTTAAGCCCACTTTCATCTGTATCCATAGCATCCTCGGGCTTACACATTCGTCTCTTTCACACATTGACCCATTCTTTCTGAAAGGATGAAACCGACTCCCTGGCATGCCCGTTCGGTCTCTGCTACACCAGACCAATACGCGGTATACGTGCCATGTGCAGTATACCGCGCACATCCGCGCCATCCTTTCCCTTTCGTTTCGTTTCATTTACACGTAACACATCTATTCCTCTGTCATTCATCATTTCGCATACTTTATCCATCTTATCATTCATTGCTCCACATACATTCAGCGTAGCCAGACGGGCTTCCGCAATCCACTTTTCGCCCCTCCGGGAGACAGAACGTGACGGGTGGCGAACCTCGACGCCGGTTTTTCTCCTGGAGATTCTTCGCACCCCTGCCCCATTAAAGGGGCGCCGGGAACTCGGGGCCATTTCTTTTATCTCCTGACTCATGGTGCGAACAAGGGGTGGTGGTAGATTTTACGCCGCTACCACATGGCGGGAAGCCTAGTCTATTTCTTTCGGCTTTGTCGCTCGTTTAGCACCACCCGGGGGACACGTGTAGGGTGGGCCTAAGGTTTGGTGGTCGAAGCCTACGGACGCGAGCGACTCATCCCCCTTATTATTCCTGTATTATTTATATTGAGTGACAAACAAACTAAGAGTCCACCTTATGGCAAATAATTGCAACCCATAAACACTTGCAACCACCCCAAACAAACGCTACAAATGAATTATCAACCCTGATGACCACAAAATGCATCGCAACAGCCTGTGATCATACAATTACCATTTAAATTGGAATACTACATTAATCACTTACATTAATCACTGCAGCTTGGCAGAAGAAATACGTGTGAAGGTATACTATACTAAGTCTATATATATACTAAGTAAGTATATCAATGGAAACGTTATCAAGTAAGCTATCAGATTATGCATAACAGATATATACGTTATATATATCTATGTTATATATATATATATATATATATATATATATATATATATATATATATATATATATCATATATATGTCACAAATAGTTTACTATCACTCGACGTCGTCTTATGGCGTTTGGCAGATGCGCATATTATTTGAGACGCCAGAATATAGCGTTTGGACAGATGTACAAGTATAATTGATATTATAAGGGGTTAGTATTTTCCATGAACTGTTGTAAGTTATGGCCCACCTGGTTAACTTCATGATTCATCAGGTGACGTCATTTAGTGAGTAATCGTCCTATGGCGTGTTTGCGTATATATTTATTTCCAATTAGGTGTTAGTCATTTTGTTAATTAATCTTTTAGGCTACGTCAGTCACTTTTATTCTAGTATGCAGAGAAACTTATTGCTGTCCTCTACAGCTCATCATGCAACTGAGCTTATTTTCACTGCTAGACTTATTTATTATTTGTATTACTTAGTGTACAATGTGTAAAATGCATTATTGTGGTTCTTTTCCAGTCAGAGGTATTTCATTTCAAAACGGTAGATTGAAAAAATAAATTGACCTATGGATATTTGATTTTCTTATATTTACTGTTACCATTACGACCTATTAAGTTCACTGCTGAACAGCTGGCCTCCTCCATAGATTTCCTAATAGGGAGTACATTCAACTGCATTTTTTTTATTTTTAGTTGTTTTTAGGAAGAAGCTCCTGTTTCCCGTCTCTTTATTTGTTATCCTCTGTCGCCTCTTACGTAACTCACGGGATAATGTGGGGTAGTGGATATTCTCACTACTCCATATCATCTGTTTCTTATGTTTAAGAAATTATATTCAATAAAATTTTACTAAAACAAAAAAGTGGTTTGATTGCAGGCGTGATCCATGCGGACCTGAAGCCGGCGAACTTCCTGCTGGTGTGTGGGCGGCTGAAGTTGATCGACTTCGGCATCGCGTCTGCGATCAGCGGCGACGCGACGAGCGTGGTGCGCTCGCAGGCGGCCGGCACCTACTCCTACATCAGTCCCGAGGCGCTCATGGGCGGCGCCGGCGGCTGCGGACGCGCAGACGATGCCACCACACCACCCATCAAGGTACTCCTCTTTTAGTTAAGCTTACGACGGGCTATTTTGTGCGACTCCACCTCTAAGCACGTGATAGATTGTAGCTGAGTGTGATCAATACTGGAGCACACACTTGATCACTCCTCTTCAAATGGCCGCGCCATAGCACTCCATTTCCTGGTCATTCTGTGTCATGAGTTCTGACCAGTCAATCGTGTAGACCAGAGATTCCTAAAGTGGGTTCCACTTCACACTTGGGTGCCAATGTTAGTTTTGAAATAGCACAAAAAATGTGATGTTTTCTTGCTGCTATGTGGGTATGTAGATTTATTTATTAGATTTAGATTTATCTATTAGAAAACTACGGCATAATTACAATAGTAATATACAACCTTTAGTTAGTCTAGCAAATAAAGCTGATTATAGTTTTACTTAAAAATCGCAACTTGGGAATATGAGCAAAAAGGCTGACGTAACTGTGTGTGCGTGTGTGTTTGTGTATTAGGGTGGAGCGAAATTTTTTTTTCACCTTATCATAATCTAATAGTGCGCAAAAGGTACCCTTAGGAATCAAATTAACTCATGCAAAATATTATTGTGATTGATTGAGTCAAGGTCATTTAAAATAAAAAGATGATTTTCGACCCAGGATTAACGCTATGTAAATATGCTATTGTCAAATAAATTGTAACATTTTGTTTAATTTTTTAATTTAAAATATAGTTTATTTTCATTATAAATCAATAAAAAACCAAGTTTTGACTTAAACTTACTTCAAATCAAGGTCATGATGGCGGTGCCGAGAAGTAATTTTCGCGCACCTGCGGGAGGTAATTTGTCGCGCATTTGTCGTGTCACTGCCACTATGCAATTACTTTTCAATGTGAAAGGTCACGCTTTTATCTATTTTACAATATTTCTTGGTTGTTGGAAGCATGGAATGAACCTTTAGTGCATCAAAGTGGCCCTTTTTTGGTGGTATCCAAGATATTAAAGAGAACACTTTACCTTGTATTAAGAAGAAGAAGAAGTACTACGAGTGGACCAGATATCAACTAAACTTGCAACTGGGAACTGTGAAAGAGCCAATATTTTCACAAATAGGAGATATTGTGGCACCTAGAGTTGAAAATATCTGAAAAATTGTGTCTATTCCGACCGTAACTAGAACACGAGTTATACAAATGTTAAAAACCTACCACTTAAAATGTTAAAATTTACTCAAGTCTATTAAGAAGCTCTCTTCAGAAAAATTGAATAATTTTCGGGAAAAGGTAATAATACAGAACAATGACTGCTAAAGAGCACATTTTACTAATTCAGGAGCCAGGTTCTACCTACATGGGTTATGTATTATTCTTAGGGTTCTTTGCAAAGGACATTATATCCCTAGAACATTTTATAGCAATAGGTTGTGATGGGACTAATGTAATTTCTGAAAAGTACTATGGCATTATACAAATCCTTGAAAAAAGGCTATAAAGGCCCCTCCAATGGTTTATTTGTTTACTGCATTTGAACGAGCTGCCATTAAGGCATTTGGTTTTATATATTAACGGAAGTACTTCAGGACCCAAGTCTTACACTGGTCAGCTGGGAAAGGTACTGGAAATTTGTAAACAAATACCGATTAAGAAATTCCAACCCATCAAAGTAGAATCTCCCAAAAATGCCCCAGATTTGAGCACAGATCAAAAGTACTTACGCGAGATTGTCTATGCGGTACAATTAAGTTCATTTTCAGAAGATCTAGCAAACAGGTCTCCAGGTGTGTACCTTATCATCACATTTTTTCTACACAATCTCATACTCGTTGGCTCACATGTGCTAATTGAATCCTACGTTTGTATGTAGCAACAGAGAAACCATCAGAAAATTTGATTGCTCTGGCTACATTGTATCTACATCATGTAAAGATGGAGCTCGACATCTATTTATAATTATATTAGCCTCCACGTACCTGCCAGAATCCTTGAAAGTAGTGATCGACCCCGTCATTCAACGCATTAGCTACTTCGCACATCCTGAGAATTTTGCTACTTGCAATTATTACAGATGACAAAAAGCACATTCATGAATTAGCAGCCCGGCGTATATTAAAAGCACAGAGCATATAGCAATCCCCTGCACCAAGGCTATTTGAGATGCCTGAAGTTAATTTCAGCACAACAACCTACATTGATATAATAAATTGGCAATACACAATTACTGAATCGCCGATCTAAGTGACCAAGAAATTCAGAAAAAGGTCCAATCGGGTGGTGAGGGTGAACTTTTGCTTTTACGTCTCCCATGTCATGCCAAGACTGTTGAGCGACTGTGAAGTTGACGACAGAAGTGGCCATTTCTCAATGTAAGGTAATTCATCACGATTGGGGGTCATAAAAGTCAAAATGGAATCCCGTAAGAAAATCCCAAAATTCGAAACAAAGAGAGATTTTAAGATAAATTGAGGATTTGTTTTTCAAAACATATGAGTGAATTTTGTTTCACTATCACTTTCACTTTTATATTAAATTATATTGTAAGTATTCTAATTATATTAGTGAGTTTCATTTATAATCTCTAGTTTATCATCATCATCATCATTAGCCTGCGGCAGTCCACTTTCATACTGTGTAGATCGGAACAAAAGTTAAATTTTAATCTATGGTAACCGCTGTTAACTACGACATTTGGATGTTGAACATCTCAGTCCTCCCCGTGACCATGGGTAAAGCGCTCGAAACGTCGGGTATTTATAGTTAAATATACGCGATAAAATCCGTAAAAACTAGTATTATTTCAATGTGTAGTGTTCGCGTAAATATAAGAAATTGAGATGGGTCGATAATTTTTTAGCATAGTCTTGTTACCTTGGCAGGTAAGATGCAGTTAAAAACTCGACAGAGCTCTTTTAGCAAGGGTTGACTCCCAGCTTTTAAGAGCTCTGTTGTAACTCCATCTTCTCCAGGGGCTTTTCCATTTTTAAGTTGGCCGAGGGCCAGCTCAATCTCCCCAAGGCAGATGTTTGGCGGCTTGTCGGTATAGTGGCGGGGCGTGGCCTGATCATCATCGCATTTAGGGTCAGATTGTGGCTTATGTGAGGCATATATTAATTTGCCATAATAGTGTTCGATCTCAGAGAGAACCTCAGGCTTTGACGTGAGGACTTTGCCATCATGCGTCTGGAGTTTTGTGATGTGACTTCTTCCAAGCTCCCGAACAAAGATTTTGGATCCCTTGTTTCGCTCTATTGCCGCTTGTATAGCAATTGCATTAGAGCGACGCAGGTCTCGCCTCACAGCTTTCCTCACAAGCTTGGTTAGTGTCACCTGTTCCGATAGTGATGCTGTTGTTAACTCATGCCTTCTTTTCATAAGCTGAAGTGTCTCATCTGAGAACTTCGACTTTCGGCCCGTATGTTGCTGGCCACAAAACCTGTTGCCCTCATCCCGTAAGATCTTAATCACGCTGTTAAGGTCCTCGTCAATATCCAAAGTGGGTCTCAGGGCATCGAATCGATTTTAAAGTTCTAGATGGAAGCGTTGGGAGCCAGTTACGGTTTGAAACAGATTTGGTCGAATCGTAGACTTCACCAATCGGGACCTTTCAAGCGTAAAATCGATATTCAGAGTGCCTCGAACAAGTCGGTGATCGCTTCCGGTATTTAATTTGTTGATCACTGAGACGTCTCTGAATATGTGCCTTTTGTCCGTCATGATGAAATCAATCTCATTTTTTGTAGTATTATCTGGACTGCGCCAGGTCCACTACCTTTGTGGCTTCTTCGCGAAAAACGTATTCATCAGAAATACCCCTTTCTCGAGGAAGTTGACCAGCATTTGCCCCCTGTGATTCCTGCTTCCAAAACCGTGGTGTCCCAAAATCGATTCGACGCCCGTGTGTTTACCCACTTTGGCATTAAAATCCCCCATAACAACATTGTAGTGGGCCTTTGTGGTGTTACGTAAGGCCCTAGAAATGTCTTCATAGACAGTTTCTACTTCGTCATCAGAATGTGCCGAGGTCGGGGCATAAACTTATACGATCTTCAGAGAGTATCTGTTTGATAACTTAAGTACAAGGTACGCTACCCGTGTCGACACACTTGAGATTTCTACAATGTTGTTAGTGAGGATCCTATGAACGAGGAAACCTACTCCGCCTTGGGATAGGTCGTCTCCATCCCGAAAGTAGAGCAGATGGCCAGATTACAGGGTAATTGTCTCATCTCCCTCTCTTCGGACTTCACTTAACCCTACAATATTCCATCTTATATTTTCCAGCTCAGCTTCCAGTTCATAAATGGGAAGGGATTGACAGCTGTCATTGCTGTTATTAAACATTAGCTCCGCGTTTTTACTCTAGGATAAATTCGAAATCTAATTAAAAATCTATATTTTTGATGAAAACAAGGAAATTAAACTATAATATATGTGTGGAAGTGTTATTCGCGAAAATAGTACATGTTTTATTGAGAGAAAATTGAAGTAAAAACTAAGTGTGCCGTTCAGTTTAAGTGGTCTAATGAAGTGATTAATCATTGGTGCATAATTATATAAACAGTGTAATTTAACCCAAGTGAACTAAAATTAGAATATTATAATCTCGCTTATATATATATATGTGATTTACGAGCCTAATACTATAATTTAAAGCAATTGGATTAAGATTGTTGTGTGTTAAACTTTTAAACTACCCACAATTATTACTGGATTGATAGTGGATACTAGTGTCATCTATTAACTATTATAGTAATAGAAACTGGTTAAAGTCGATAAAGTAGTATTGTCAAGTTTTGAATGAAACAATTTCATCAACTGTTTATAAAGATACGTAGCCTAATAGTAAGTTCAGAGCGGTAATACCGGGAAGTCGGAGGTTCAAATCTAACACTTTAAAAAACATGTATAGTCTTTTTCATTTCTTATAAAATGGCATCAAGGGGTATAAAAATATTATGCAACAAATGCGATAAAGAAATACATCATAAGGAATTTCTTAAATGTTATGTATGCAAAAACATTTATGAAATTGAATGCTTAAGT